ACAGTAGTGCCACACTGAGCCACATCCAGCCCCTGCACACAGTAGGGGGGTGCACACTGAGTCACAACCAGCCCCTGCACACACTCGGAGGGCCACACTGAGCCACATCCAGCCCCTGCACACAGTAGGGGAGTGCACACTGAGTCACAACCAGCCCCTGCACACAATCAGGGGGCCACACTGAGCCACATCCAGCTTCTGCACACAATAGAGGAGGACACTGAGCTATATCCAGCCCCTGCACACAGTAGGGTCACACTGAGCCATATCCAGCTCCTGCACACAGTAGGGGGGTGCACACTGAGCCATATCCAGCCCCTGCACACAGTAGGGGGGTGCACACTGAGCCACATCCAGCTCCTGCACACAGTAGGGGAGGGCACACTGAGCCATATCTAGCCCCTGCACACAGTAGGGCCACACTGAGCCATATCCAGCTCCTGCACACAGTAGGAGGGTGCACACTGAACCATATCCAGCCCCTGCACACAGTAGGAAGTTTCTAGCTCTGGGGCTGCCCATGCCTTCTGTCTGCTTGAAACACCTCTCCGTCTCTCAGCCAGCTAATTCCTACCCATCCTAAAGGCCTGTAGCCCCCCAGTCCCTGAGGTCAATAGGGCCCTCTTGCACTCCCTCCTGTGACTCCCCCAGCCCCTGCTGTCTGCCTAGTTCCCCTGTCTGGCAGCCACCTCACCTGACTTGCTGCTCCCGAGAGGTGTCAGGGGTGTTTGCTGAATGGCTGAGTCAGGTGGGAACATTCTGAAGCCTCTTCCTGGGAGTGGAGCACACTCTGGCCTCCTGGGGCCCGGGGAAGTGGGGACGTGTGGTCAGCAGGGCCCAGCAGGCACCCAGGGCGCCAGCCAGCCCAGGACACCTGCACCATTGCATTTTGGGCCATGGGGACCTGCCTCCTGCCCTCTAGCCTCCACCTCTACAGGAACTCCCTGCACAGAGCGGGGCTGGGGCCCTGGGGCCAGGCAGCTCACTCCTCTGCTCCTTGAGGCAACTTCCTGTCCTCTCCCCCATATCTCCCCAGCCAGACCTAGGAGAGGAAGCCGCCATCTCCCTCCCAGAGGCAGACAGAGACACTCCCGGACCTCAGGAAGAGGGCAAGCCATGTGAGGGTGGGCTCACTCCTTTGGGCCTTCCTCCTCCCTCTGCTGCTCCCAGGCCCTCCCAGGTAGCCACGCTGCCACCCTCCTGCTTGGGTGCCTTCGGTGACTCCTTCTGTCTCCCTAGTTCAGATCAACTCTGCAGCTTGGCTTTAAGCCATCTCGCCAGCCTCACCTCACACCCCTGCTCCCACATCCATCCCTGGCACCTTAGGGTCCATCCATTGACCTATCTTCTCTATACTTCCAAACTTTTCCATGTTTGTGGTTACCCGTCCTTATCTGTACATTTCTAAACCCTCAGCATTTTCAAAGCCAGGCTTCAGTGCTGCCTTCTCCAAGAAGTCCTCCTTGATTTCTCAGGAGCCAGTCTGACTCCTGAGCAGCCAGCCCCTTGGTGCTCCTCACTCTTACCTCCAGCATCCACACTGTGTGTCTGTCCAGAACAGGTGCTGCATCGGAGTCATCACGAGGCCTCTAAGGCCAGCCCAGTGTGTGAAGGTCACTGTAAAGTTGCCCTCTAGGTGGGGAACGCCCTGAAGCAGAAGCCGTGGCGTTTGTGGCCCTCACCACTGCATCTCAGGTCCTAGCACCTGGTCCGGCATTTCTAGCCAATGCAGTAAGACAAGAAAAAGAAGCAAGGTGCAAATAACTAGAAAGCGAAAGAACAGATGAGCATATCTACTTTCATAAGCGTGTGCCGTCCTCCCCATCCAGGAGATACACCAGACAACCCATACTGTATGAACAAGTTTGTGTTTTTTTTCGAGATGGAGTCTTGCTTTGTCACCCAGGCTGGAGTGCAATGGCACGATCTCTGCTCACTACAACCTCTGCCTCCCAGGTTTAAGTGATTCTCCTGCCTCAGCCTCCCAGATAGGTGGGATTAGAGATGCCGACCACCACACCTGGCTAACTTTTATGTTTTTAGTAGAGATGAGGTTTCACTGTGTTAGCCAGGCTGGTCTCGAACTCCTGACCTCAGGTGATACACCTGCCTCAGCCTCCCAAAGTGCTGCAATTACAGGTGCCCACCACCATGCTTGGCTAACTTTTCTATGTTTAGTAGAGACAGGGTTTCACCATGTTGGCCAGGCTGCTCTTGAACTCTTGACCTCAGGTGTTCCACCCGCCTCAGCCTCCCAAAGTGCTGGGATCCCAGACGTGGCCACCGAGCCCGGCCAAGCACAGGGTTTGAAGTCTGAGAGAGGGGCTGGGATTTGCCAACGCCACACAGAGGGTTGTGTTTTCCTGCTTCCCTGACACAGTGTCAGGCGCAAATACACAGCGCTAGTCTTGTGCTGCACCTATTGGCACCCTGGCAGTGAGGCCAGAGGCCCTGCCTGGCAGGGAGAGGGCTCCAGCTGTTCCAGATCAAGCCCAACCAGCCTGCCACCGTGTCCTCAGCTGGAAGCGGGTTGTTAGGGCGAAAGACACAAAACCCCTATTTGCCTTGTAAATGGTTACACCCACCCAGCTTGTAAGCCTTAAGGCACAACTAGAAAAGGCATTTTGAAAGCTGGGACTTGCTCCCTGGTATGGGGAAGAGGCTGTTGGCTTGGGGAACAGTTGAGGGCAAGTGGTCAGGCCCTGAACCTGGAGGGCCAGCCCTGCCTCCTGTGTGCAGGGGTGGGGGCAGGGCTGCTGGTTCACCCCAGAGGGTGCCCCCAGGCCTGGGGCTGGGTGAGGGTGGCTGGGCAGTCCTCAAGCCGGGCACTACCCTGGCTGTGGGAGTCTGGGAACAGCCTTCCCCTCTGAACACAGGGTCACTCTGAAGTCGGGGTGGGACAGACAGCGTCTGGAGGTTGTAAGGTCCCTGGCCACGGGGATAAAGTGGCGGGAGAGGGGGCCTGGCCTTTGCTCTCAGGCTCCGTTTGTGGGTGCCCAGTGCTCCTTGCACCCTCTGCCTGTGGTCCCGGTTTCCCTAACAACCCCAGACTGTTGTTGACCCCTGGGGCCCAGCCATCTGATTTCCCCTCCTCCGTGCCCTTGTGGGTCTTCTGGTTGGGCAGTGCCAGGCCTCCGCCCTGTGTTCCCTGCGTGGGCAGCCTGCCCAGCTCCCTGGGGATATCCTGTCATTGTGGCCCAGAGCCTTGGCCCGGTGTCTGCCAGGTCAGCCACAAGTGCTCTGGGTTCTTTCCAGGTCTCCAGGTGGGGCCCAGGAGCCCAGAGAGGTGGGGGAAGTTGGCAGAGGCACCCAGAGCTTCAGCATGGCAGGACTGGGAACTGTGTCCCAGCCACCTGACGCCTGGGCTTTGGCCAGCCTCTGTGGCAGACGCACAGGCGGGGCTCTCAGATCCATAGCTGGCCCTGCAGGTGACCTTGGCGTGTCCTCTATCTCTCTGGGCTTCCTCTCTGAGGCCATAACTTATGGCACACCCATTCGGGGCCCAGCGGACCCAGAGGCTCTGTAGGACAGGTGTGAGGGGTCACTCCTGGAGTGGCTGGGTGCTGGGAGTTGCTGAGCCTTAGGCTGCCCTCTGGACCCGGTGGGGGTGCGGGGTGGGAGGGAGCTTCAGCTGGGCTCTGTGCCCTGGCTTCCAACAACCAGACTGCATGAAAATGTTCACATTTGCAAGTTGGCTTCCATTTGTCTTGAATTCCCACCCCCTCATTTGCATATCCAAATCAGCCTGGGCCCTCCTGGGTCAGCCCACCCCAAAAGCAGCACTTCCAAAGGCAGCTGCTGGGTGGAGGGAAGGAGGGTGCCGGAGGGAGTCTGCCCTGGGCCCCCACAGCCCTCTCAGCTGTGAGGGTGTAAAACAGCCATAGTCAACACATTGGCATCCCAGCTGCCGCAGGCTCGGGGCTAGTGCATTGCTTCATCCTCAGAAGCCCTTAGAGCAGGTGCTATCACACCCAGTTAAACAGGGCCATATGACCTGTGCATGGGAGAGCAGAGGTTTCAGTGCAGGCCACGTGGCCCACAGCCTCTGTGCTGTACAGAAAGAGGCTGGAGTGTCTGTCCCTGGTCCCCAGACAGTGCAAGTTCTGACTCAAAGCCCCCGCTTCTGAGCACTGAGTTACTCATATAGCCCTGAGGATGGGCCTGGGGCCTCTTTGGCACCCAACATGCCCTCAGCACCCTCTCCAAGGACCCCGAGGTACCTATTAGTCACCCTCACCTAGGTTAAGCACCTCACCTGAGAGGTCTGTCGGCTTTGGTCTCAGCTCTACTGTGTGACCTTAGGGGAATGACTCCACCTCTCTGAACCTCAGTTTTCTCACTGTGAAATGGACAGCACAGTTGTCCCAGTTCCACAGGGTCACATTATCAGTGCCACCTAAGACGGTAGACACAGGGGCTGGATACTGTGGCTCACACCTGTAATCCCAGCACTTTGGGAGGCTGAGGCAGGTCAGGAGTTCAAGACCAGCCTGGCCAACATGGTGAAATCCCATCTCTATGGAAAATAAAAAAGTGTTAGCCGGCCATGGTGGTGGACGCCTGTAATCCCAGCTACTCAGAAGGTTGCAGCAAGAGAATCCCTTGACCTGGGAGGTGGAGGTTATAGTGAGCCGAGATCGTGCCACTGCACTCCAGCCTAGGTGACAGAGCAAGACTCCATCTCCAGAAAAAAAGAAAGAAAATGGACACAGAGTGGCCACATGGGCCCACTGGGCTGCTGATTCTCCGTGCCCACCTTTTTCTTGCAGCCACTTCTAGGGATGTAGCTGGGGTTAGGCCTCTGTTCCCCAGGACACTCCCGCTCTGATCAGACTGTCTGTGACCTGAGCAGGAAGCTAGCCAGAGGCAATACCCACCCAGATCCTGGAGGCAAGAAGCCAACAGGCGGGAACAAAGAATTTTCCGTGGCTCCACTGTTCATGAGGAACTGCCACTCTTCAGGGCCTCAATTGCTCTTTCACCCTCTTCTCCTTCCCCAGATTTCCATCACTGGTGATATTTACATTGGAATTATGCCCAGGACTTCAGGAACCCAGCATGGGTAAGTGGAAAATAATACAAAAGAAAAGAGGTGTGTTTTTAAAGGCAGGGTCGGCAAGTTTAAACTCTTAGTTTTAAAGCACATTACAAAACAGTGAGCATCAAAACCAAATGGTTTTATGTTTAAATCAATTCAGGGGGCTTCTGTCAATTGCAAGTCCCTGCTGAAAAGCAAAGATAAAGATGAAAATGAAGATGAAGATGAAGAGAGGGAAGGCCTCTCTTCCCTCCAGAGGCTCAGAGTCTGCGGTGGTGGGTAAGCAGCAGGTACCTAGTCATATGTGCTAGCTGAGAGCACTCTCTACGGGAACAGATCTGGGATGAGATCCTTGCCAGTTACCAGCTGTGTGATCTCTGGCAAGCTACAAAGTATATGTGAGTGTTGGTTTCGTCATCTGTAAAATGGAAGTAATAATACATCCCACCTCAGTGGGGTTTGTGAGTTTGAGAAGAGACCTGACAGTGGCAGCTGGCAGTGCAGCAGAGATGACAGCCCTTTTGCTAATGGAAGCCTGAAGCTGCTCCAGGTAGCAAAAGCGCCAGGCCCGGTGCATGAATCATGAGTGGGCTAATCCGTTGACAGCGAAGCCTTTCTCTCTGCTGGATACTGGCTTTCCCAGCTTCCCTGGCAGCTAAGGGTGGCCATGTGACCCTCCTCTGGCCATTGAGTTATAAGAGGAAGTCTGCTGGACTTCCTCAATAAAATACAGAGGCGGAAGCCTTTGCTTTCCCTACTTCCTGCCTGTGATGAGCTTCTGAAGCTGAAAGTCCAGCAGCTGTTTTGTGCCCACGAGGCCTCCAGCTTGAGGATGTAAAACCCTCACACGGAGGATGGCCGAGCAGGGGGATGGGGGCATTGCTGAGCTGCAAAATAGCCTGAGATTACTGACTTCCAGACTTCTTGTTCTGAGAGTATCTTCTTCTTATTATTATTATTTTGAGATAGGGTCTCACTCTGTCTCCCAAGCTGCAGTACAGTGGCACAATCTCGGCTCACTGCAACCTATACCTGCTGGACACTGGCAGTCCTCCTATCTCGGCCTCCCAAAGTGCTGTGATTACAGGCATGAGCTTCTGAGCCTGGCAGAGAGATGATCTTAAAAGCCTTTATTTGCTGGGCCTAGTGGCTCATGCCTATAATCCCGGCACGTTGGGAGGCCAAGGCAGGCGGATCACAAGGTCAGGAGTTCGAGACCAGCCTGGCCGATATTGTGAAACCCCATCTCTACAAAAATACAAAAAATTGCCAGGCACAGTGGCTCACACCAGTAATCCCAGCACTTTGAGAGGCCGAGGCAGGCAGATCATGAGGTCAGGAGATCGAGACCATCCTGGCCAACATGGTGAAAACCCGTCTCTACTAAAAATACAAAAAATTAGCTGGGCGTGGTGGCGCGTGCCTGTAGTTCCAGCTGCTCGGGCGGCTGAGGCAGGAGAATTGCTTGAACCCAGGAGGCGGAGGTTGCAGTGAGCTGAGATCGTGCCACTGCACTCCAGCCTGGCGACAGAGCGAGACTCCGTCTCAAAAAAAAACAAAAAACAAAAAGTTAGCCGGGTGTAGTGGTGTGCACTTGTAATCCCAGCTACTCGGGAGGCTGAGGCAGGAGAATCACTTGAGGTTGCAGTGAGCTGAGATTGCACTACTGCACCCCAGCCTGGGAGAAAGAGTGATACTCCATCTAAAAATAAAGCCTTTATTATTCAAAGCAATTGGGTTCTGGGTGGTCTACTCCTTCCAGCTGAACACACCCGAGTGCTATAGACCCTTAGCACCCCGCTTGGCACTCGGGAAATGCTCATTAAATACCAGCTGTGGCATCACAGAGATGTCACAGCCTGGTCGCCTTTATTTCTGTGCTCTGCAGGTAGACAGGAAGTGAGGAGGGGAGAGTCTGCGGTGTGGGTGACCCCACCTACCTTTCCACTCTATGGCTGGGTGTGGTGGAGCCACGGCACCTCACAGGGTACAGATGGCTTCCGGCACAAGATCCACTGAAGAAACCAAATTCTACTGGGCTCAGCGAGGCTACTGTAACTGACAGGTGCCGGCATCGTGCCCCCACCTCTTCCTGGAGGTTTCAAGGGTAATTCCGCGCACTCCCAGGCCTCATGCTCCAACTCTGGAATGGTGGAGGAAACATCGTGGTGTTGTGTTTGAGTCAGAATTGCCAGAGGTGCTCGTTACCCCACTGGATGGAGCAGCTGAAGGAGAGCTGACAGGTGGCGGGGCTGACCCCACACTAGAGGTTCCTTACTGAGAACAAAGAAAGACAAAGGGAGAAACTTGGCCTCCGTGACCATTATAGTCTTAATTTATGAAGGAACACTGTATGCCACAATGGACCCTCCTGTGACTTCATTCAGTGTTCTAGCCCAAAGTTAACACAGGCTTGGGAGGGAGATGACGTCTGAGGAGGTGGCAGCATTCATATGAAATGTCAGTGGAGGTTACACCGGGCGTGGTGCCTCACGCCTGTAATCCCAGCACTTTCAGAGGCTGAGATGTGCAGATCACCTAAGATCAGGGGTTTGAGACCACCCTGGCCAACTAAAAATACAAAAATTAGCCGGGCATGGTGGCAGGTGCCTGTAATCCCAGCTACTCGGGAGGCTGAGGTAGGAGAATTACTTGAACCAGGGAGGCAGAGGTTGCAGGGAGCCAAGATCATGCCATTGCACTCCAGTCTGGGCGACAGAGCGAGACTCCATCTTACAGTCAGGGACAGAGCCACCAAGAGGAATACATTTGGAGTCTTGGCCCCTAAGGCTTTCTTTTTAGCTTCTCAGTTTGCAAATATTCTGTAGTTTTTGTTTTATTTTGTTTTTCTCAAGGAGGTAGAGCTGTGTAGAGGTGGGAGTTAGGGGCACGGGCCCTGCTCTCGATTTGCCTATCTGAGCAATGGGAACAATGCCCAGCTCCACCTCCCCTGATGTTGCATGGGTCTGTGGGGCGAGCTCAGAGTGCAGAGCCTGTTGGTGAAAATGCATTGTTCCAGGCGTCCTTGGCGCCAGCCATGTAGCTCTGCCCTCATGCAGAGAAGGGCACCTGAGTGCGCAGATGAGGAATGGGAGGGCCTTGAGCCATCTTGCCCAGTCCGCGAGGTGCTGATGGATGCAGCGTGCAATGCATCAGACATCTCAGAGACAGAGAGACGCATCGCCAATCCAGCACCCTGCAGAGCTATCAGGAAGCCGATGGTGGCTCTGCACCTCCCCCTGTGAATGGCAAGGCAGTAGACCCCAGGGTGTTTGACCGGGAAAGGGCCTCTGAGTCACCTCCGCCCACCTCCCCCTTGTACAGTGGGAGATGAGGCCAGGGAGGCTGGGACGGCTTCCCAAGGTGACAGGCGGGGCCATGCAGAGAGGAAAAGACTCAGCATTGAAGAAACAGGCAGCGCTGTCGGAAGGACGCCAGTGAAGGTGAGTGAAAACAGTGTACACTTGTGCAGGCATTTTCTACAGTAAACACCCAGGGAAGAGCCACAGAGGAGGGCCCACATGGGCTGGGGGCACTGCCGCGGTGGCCACACTCTTGCTCACCTGCAGTGACACCAGGACGTGGCCTCAGCTCAACCAGCGCGCACAGTGGAGAAGCACCTGGACCCCAGATGCACGGGCCACGGGCTGTGGCTTGGGATGGGAAAGGATCTCCCTATCAATATAATAAATGTACAGGCCGGGCATGGTGGCTCACGCCTGTACGCCCACCACTTTGGGAGGCTGAGGCAGGTGGATCACTGGAGTCCACTTCTAGACCATCCTGGGTAACATAGTCAGACCCCATCTCTACAAAAAAGAAAGAAAGAAAAATAGAAAAATTGGCTCCATGTGTTGGCAGGAACCTGTAATCTCAGCTACTCAGGAGGCTGAGGTAGGAGGATCACCTGAGCCTGGGGAGGTCGAGGCTGCAGTGAGCTGTGATGGCACCAGCCAGGGCCACAGAATGAGACCCTATCTCAAAACAAAAACAAAAACAAAACCCAGAAATGTATTAGCTGGGGGTGCCCTTAGCTGCCTATTAAACTAACAGAAGGTAAATGAATATATTAAAACCCGGAGCTGTAGGGCGGGAAGGAAAGAAGACTGGTCATCTCTTGGACACTCTGGCCCCATGGAACACACTGCACATCCTTTGATCTGGTCTTTCTTGAATTCCTTTTCTTTTTGAGACGGAGTCTCACTCTGTTACCCAGGCTGGAGTGCAGTGGCGAGAGCTTGGCTCACCGCAACCTCTGCTTCCCGGGTTCAAGTGATTCTTCTGCCTCAGCCTCCTGAGTAGCTGGGATTACAGGCACCCACCACTACACCCAGCTAATTTTTGTGTTTTTAGTAGAGACAGGGTTTCATCATGTTGATCAGGCTGGTCTCAAAGTCCTGACCTCTAGTGATCTGCCCACCTTGGCCTCCCAAAGTGCTGGGATTACAGGCGTGAGCCACCGTGCCCAGTTGAGCTGGTCCTTTTCGTTGTTGGGTTTTTTGTTGTTTTTTTTTTAAGATAGAGTCTAGCTCTGTCAGCCAGGCTGGAGTGCAGTGGCTCAAGTGATTTTCCTCCTCAGACTCCCGAGTAGCTGGGATTACAGGCACATGCCACCACACCTGCCTAATTTTTTGTATTTTTAAACGGGGTTTCACCATGTTTGCCAGGCTGGTCTTGAACTCCTGACCTCATGATCCACCTGCCTCAGCCTCCCAAAGCCTGGGCTTACAGACTCAAACACTGCCCGGTCCTGAGCTGGGCCTTCTAACCTGAGACAGTACCAACTCTCTGCCCCTCTCTTCTTCCTGCTCTTCCCGTCTTCACTCCCCGACCCTAGTCAACGAAGACAGCGTCTGCTGCCCAGATGATGTTTGAGCAATCTCCCCAGTCCTGACCCCAGGCTTGGTCTGCTCTGGAGCTTTCCCTCCCACCCAGAGCCCAGATCTCAGTAAAGATGCATCACAGAGCCCTGAACGCCAGCCCCGGGGCTGAACAGCAAGGCGCTCACCAGCAGCCAAGGGTAGACACTGGAGCCCTGCCGCTCAGCCCAGCCGGGGCACCAGGAAGCACATGCCCAGCACCCGGCCAGCAGACATGGCCTGCACATCAAGGGGAGAGCCCTGGGTGCTGCCACCGCCTCCTCACTTAAACTCCACCAGGGCGTCGTCGAAACTGGAGAAACCCCAGAGGCAGACAACCCTGCCTGGGAACACCTGTCCTGCCCGCTCCACTTGGGAGAGAGGCTCTGTCTGCCCTCCGGTGGGGGGGCCCTTGCAGGCTGCAGGAATTCGAGGTGTGGCTGCTCAAGAACATGGCCGGACTTGGGCAGGGGGTGGGTGGTGGAAGAGCCCCTGCCCGCTGCTGGAGAAGGTCCCTGGCCTCAGCTGTGGCCCTAACTGGGCAGGGACACCTTGGTCCTAAGCAGACAGTCTCCTACCTGTCAACCTCCGTGCATCCACAGTGCAGTTCTCAGGTAGGCTTCCCCTAAATGAGGGTCTCCCCCATCCTCCACCACCTGATGGGGACGTGGGGCCAGGCCCGCCTAAGGGCTCTGGGCTTGCCCCTCCCCCAACTGCGCCTGGCAAGTCCCCCCCACCTTCCGGCTGTCTGCTTTTGTGAGGCATCTCCTGTTACAAGGGAACCAGAAGCACCTGCTCTAGGATGTTCAGACCCCCACCCAGCGCTGGGACAGACACACAGACACGTTGTGATCAGACACAGAAGTGGCCCTGGACGCCCTCTCTAGTCAGCTCCCCCACACCTCCCAGCTGTCTGCCCTCATGCCCCCAGCTGGCACAAGACTGGCCTGGAAGCCAGGAGAACCATTCCAGGGTACACCTGGGGCCCCAACCTACTGTGCAAATCCCAGCAAACCCCATCCGCCTCTGGCCCTCAGCTTCCTCTCTTGCATGGAGGCTTGGGGGAGGTGTACTGGGGGGACCAGCTGGCCTGTGAGGCTCTTTCCCTCCGGTTCCAGGCCTGTGGTGGTCCACATTGTCTTAGGGGAAGACTTTTGCCCAGAGGAAACCTTCCCCAGAGAATCAGGGACTGCTCTGGCCGCGATGGCCACACACAGGGCCTCCCAAGGAGACAGAGCCTGCCTTGCCAGTTGCTGAGCCCTGGGGAGTCCTGGCCTTCTCTGCCTCAGTGACCCTGTTAATACAGCCAGGCCTGGACAAGGAGGGTCTCACTAGCTCTTTGAGCTCCCCAACTCCAGGGACTCAAAAACCTCCCCGGCTGCACCTCTGACCTCCTCAAGGGCTGCCAGGACCACCAGAACCCCTGGGACCGCAGCCCGTCCCCTACTTCCAGCCTTCACGCCTCCACCCAGCCTTCACCCACCACCCCCCTGCAGGTCTCTGGGTTCACCCTCGGCCCTTTCTCTATGTTTACTGAAGGCAGATGTGAGGAGTGAGTGGGGGAGGCCAGCAGGAAGCCAGCCACACTCTGGGATCTGCCAGAGAAAAAGAAGCCCCTGAAGGTCCAGCAGAAGCTGAGCTTGATGTGGTGGAGGAGGCTGCTCTCTTTCCATTGCAAGGGGCAGAAGCCTGATTGCAATGGGTTGAAGCACAAGGGGAAAATTATTGGCTTATTTCACGGAAAAGTCCAGGGAATGGATGGCTTCAGGATTGGCAGGATCAAGGGCTCTCAGGTGACATCTTTAAGAATTTACCTCTCAGCTGGGTGCAGTGGTTCCTGCCTGTAATCCTAGCACTCTGGGAGGCAGAGGCAGGAGAATCATTTGAGCCCAGGAGTTCAAGACCAGCCTGGGCAACACAGCAAGACCCCATCTCAGCCACATCCAACATCCCACTTGAGTGACCCCCCCCCCACCCCGCCAGGAGATTCTGTTTGCCAATGGTTTAATCAAAAGCCTTTGATTTGAGGCTAGACGTGGTGATTCACGCCTGTAATACCAGCATTTGGGGAGTCCAAGGTGGGTGGATCACCTGAGGTTGGGAGTCGGAGACCAGCCTCACCAACATGGAGAAACCCTGTGTCTACTAAAAATACAAAATTAGCCAGGTGTGGTAGCTCATACCTGTAATCCCAGATAGTGGGGAGGCTGAGGCAGGAGAATCGCTTGAACCTGGGAGGTGGAGGTTGTAGTGAGCCAAGATAGTGCCATGGCACTCCAGACTGGGCAACAGAGCAAGACTCCATCTCAAAAAAAAAAAAACCATCTTTGATTTGATTCTCCTAATGGGCTCTCAAAGGATATGGGTTCTGCGCCCATCCCTGGACCAGTCCCTCAGATGCTCCAATTGGTTACATGGAGTCATACGCTCTGAGGCCAGTGCAGGAGGTCAGGGGAGGGGGTACCCAAAAGACAGTCAAGGTGCAGACGTTGGAAGAAGGGGTGCTGAGCAGGCAGGAGCAGGATGGCCACTGCTGCTGGCTGGGATCTCCTTCTGTGGGTACCAAGTGGAGTCCTGCTCTGTATGAGCTGTGGTGAGCTCCAGAGTGGAGCAAAGGAACCACCAAGTGCCCGGTCCCAGGCCAGCCCCAAGCACCAAGTAGCATCCACAGCTGTGGGGGTGTGCTGAAAGCAGAGCAGCCCAGAGACTCAGCCTCTCAGACGACGCAGAGGCTGGGAGAGGGCCTGTGGCCTCAGCAGACAAGTCCTTCCTGGGTGGCTGGGAGATTCTTAAGGGAAATGACATTTGACCCGTATTCTTAGAAACAGGAAGTGGTAGCTTCCTGAGAGCAAACTGACCTCATCCCTGAGCCCTGAGATGGCCCCTGGGTCCAACCACTTCCAAAGTGATGTGGCCACCTCTCACGCAGGGAAGCATTGGGGCCAATCCACATTTATTTACTTATTTAATTTATTTTTTTGAGACAGAGTCTTGCTCTGTTGCCCAGACTGGAGTGCAGTGGTGTGATCTCAGCTCACTGTGACCTCCACCTCCCGAGATCAAGCGATTTTCCTACCTCAGCCTTCTGAATAGCTGGGATTCCAGGCATGCGCCACCATGCCTGGCTAATTTTTTGTACTTTTAGTAGAGACGGGGCTTTGCCATGTTGGCAACACTGGTCTCAAACTCCTGACCTCTGGTGATCCACTCGCCTTGGCCTCCCAGAGTGCTGGGATTACAGACCTGAGCCACTGTGCCTGGCTGCTTTGTTTATACTTCTGTTCTCAAAGTGAATCATCATCTGTTTAAATAAAGGTGTCCTCATCACCAGTCCTTGGTAAGGGAGTGCTCACTGTGTGTCATAAGCTTTACCTACTGAATCTTCTGATTCTGAGGCCTCCGATGTGCTAACACCACCCATGTACTAACACCACCCATATGCTCATCCCTCCCATTCGCTCATCCCTTCCCTGTGCTCCTGCACTGTGTGCCGGTGTCTTCTAGGAGCAGACACCTTCCTGGGGACTTTGAAGGGCTTTCACTGAATAGCACAGAGCAAAACTTGCAACCACCTGTACCTTCACCTGGATCTTGATGGCTCCTTGCTTTGCACTTCGGTCAAGCTCAGTGTCTGGAAGATGAGGGATGAGGGCTGTCCCCAAAGCCTCCCCAAAATGATAGTTCAGAAAGAAATTCCTGCTGTTTTACTGCCAGCTTATCTGGCTGGAAGAGCAAGGAGCAGAGGAGCTAGAGCTGGTGGAGGGGGGACTGGGTGCAGCCCTTGGCCCTGGCCCTGATGTGCTGGGTGAGTTTGGGGAACTCCCAGGGCTTCAGACCCCCTCAGGGCCCCCTCAGTCCCCTGGCTCCCTGTTGGCAGATTCTTGGCTCCCAGGTGAGCCTGGGTCAAGCCACGGCCTCCCTACTGCAGCCTCCACTGCCACCTCCACCCAGCGGTTCCCATGGTGGCAGCCTCCAGTTCTCTGTTTACTCGGCATGCTGTGATTTTTCCACAACCGGCCATTGAGAACACAATGCCAGCTTCCCCCCAGGGAGATGCAGCAGAGCCCACGCCCGCAGCCAAACAGCGGATGTGACTTTGCAGCCAGGGCAGACACCAGCACCAGGCATCTCAGACTCCCGTGGCCCCTCCTGGACCAAGACCTCAGCTTTCTGCAACGGGGTGCTGAGAGCCAGGCCAGCTGGGGTTCCAGCTCAGAAATGTGTGTGAAACCCCAAGCAAGTCACTGTCCCTCTGAGAGGATACTGAGGCTGAAATGGACCAAACCCTGCATGCAATCCTAAAAGCCCACACCTTTTTCGGCTCTTCCCAGAGAGGCCGCCCCACAGCCCCTGCCCGGCAGCCCCAGACACAAAGGGTGGGGGACTCAGGCAGCAAACACTTCTGCCAGAGCCGGCTTGGAGCCAAGCACAGCCTGGCCATGCTCAGGTCAAGCCAATAGTGTGGCCTTTGCCCCCGGCCTGCAGTCCCGAACCAGGGCAGACCTGGGTTAAAACGGCACTTCATGGACCCTAAGCTTCCCTGGGTTGTCTACACCCAAATGGACACAACCCTCATTGTGAAAAATCCGACTTGGAAAGAATGAGAAAGTAAGCGTCATTCAGCATCTCGGGCACCTGCTCCCAGACTTTCCCAGGCACGTGCTGGTCACCGACCCCTGCTTGCTGTGAGTGCGGGCTCCAGGCTGAGGGTATTGCGTAACTTATTTTATCCCCCTCTGAGGCTTTCCTCCTTCAACTGTCCAGGGGTTCAGAGGCTCAGATCACACACGTGTTTGCAGTCGATCCAGGTCTTGAACACTGTTTGATAGCTGGATTCCTGAATTCATGAACTTGACCCCTACACTATGTTGCCTGGAAACGCTCATGTTGATTGTTTTCAGGTGAGGCACGGGGCCAGTTATTTTCCCAGAGGCTGAGAACTGTTAGCCAGCTGCTGTAAGCCCTGTGGCCCTCTGAGGGACATTGTCCTTTGGGACCATGATGATGAGGGGCTCCAGGCTTCCTTCTGCCTCAACCTCACCCCAAACCTAGCCTCCAGGCTCTTGGTGGAGCTGGACCTTCCCCTTCGGCTAATGGCGGACTCCTCCCCTCCCAGCCAGGGTGCTGACCCTGGTTCCCACATTTGCAGTTCCCTCCTACCTGCCCCAGTTTCTTCCCCTCTTGCTTTATCTTTCTGCCCAGCCTCTGTCCCATGTTATCCCTTCCCAGTCAGCCCCTTTCCACCCTCCCAGACATAAACCATCCATGAACTGAGTCTGGTGTTTAGTGGGTCCATCCCTTTTGGAATGCTGTGAAGGTATCATCTCCCCAGGGTTCTCAGGGGACCTGGGAGAATCCTACCCAGGGGTCGGTTCGGCTTGGACAACTGAATATCCACATGCAAAAGAACAAGTTGGACTTTGGTCAGGCGTAGTGGCTCACACCTGTAATCCCAGCACTTTGGGAGGCCAAGGCAGGGGGATTACTTGAGGTCAAGAGTTCAAGACCAGCCTGGCCAACATGGTAAAACCTGTCTCTCCTCAAAATACAAAAATTAGCTGGGCATGGTGGCATGTGCCTGTAATCCCAGCTACTCGGGAGGCTGAGGCAGGAGAATCACTTGAACCCAGGAGGCAGAGGTTGCAGTGAGCCAAGATGATGCCACTGCACTCCAGCCCAGGTGACAGAGTGAGACTCTGTCTCAACAAAAAAAAGAAGAAGAACAAGAGGAAGAAAATATGGGGGCAAATCTTAATAACCTTGAATTTGACAGTAGTTTTTTAGAAATAACCCAGAAAGCATGAGCAACGAAAGAAAATATAAACTGGGCTTCATCAATGTTAAAAAGTTTTGTTCATCAAAGAACACTAACTATCAGGAGAGTGAGAAGACAGCCACAGGATAGGGAAGAATCCTTGCAGGTCTGCTTTCCAAAAGTCACAGGATAAACAGGCATTTTACTCAAAGGTTTCTTGGGGAAACTTTTTTTTGAGACCAGCGTCTTGCTATGTGGCCCATTGGCGCGATCATGGCTCACAGCTACTTTGAACGCCTGGCCTCAAGCAATCCTCCTGCCTCAGCCTCCTGAGTAGGTGGGACTACAGCTGTGTGCCACCACACTAGGCTGAGGAAACATTCTTTACATGTTAAAGCATAGTGGTTGAGAATGCAAAATTTACACAAAATGTAAGCTACAGTAGGAGACATTAAGAAGTTTGGAATCTGAAGCCAAGCGCTTGGGAGGAATGCAAGTTCAACTTTTTGGTATTCTGTCAATGAGAGAGCTTGTGTGGCACAGTTCTCAAAATCTTCATAGATTCTATGGATAGTAGGACCCAGAGGGCTGGCTTGTTGGGCAGGGCTGCTAGGGAGATCACAGGCAAGGTCACAGGCAGATCACAGGCAAAGTCACAGACAGATCACAGGCAAAGTCACAGACAGATCACAAAGTCACAGACAGATCACAGGCAAAGTCACAGACAGATCACAGGTCACAGGCAGATCACAGGCAAGGTCGCAGGCAAGGTGAGTCACAAGGAGGAAAGCTGGGGCTTACAGGGCTGTGGACCTGCAAGGCCGAGATTGGCCTGCCAGGTCACCCCTGGATCTCTGGCCCCCTGCAGCACCTGATTCCTAACTCACGAATCCATTGGGCTTCTTTTGGTTCTAAGTGACAGAAATACATCTCAGAGTAGTTGAGCAAAAATGGGAAACTCTTGGCTTATGGGATGAAAAGCCCAGAGTAACCGGCCTCGGCTTGTCTGTGGCAGGGGACACGCATCAGTGCACTTTCCTGTTGCCCTCGACAAGCCGAGGCTCTCTTCTCCCAGCAACCCCAGGAGACAAACTTCTCTTTCTCCACCACCGTGGCAGACGTCCTGGGGCCGCACCTTGCTGGGCTGACGGGTCTTGTGTGGATCGGGTGCCCACCCAAGGGGCAATCACTGCAGCAAGAGAGTGAGAGGCTCGGGGTGGCCAGGCCGGAGTCACTGGCCTGCTCCTTGGAGTGAGCCACAGAGAGAAGAAGATGTGTAGGGGACGAGTGCAAACGGCAAGAACAACAAGGCTCACACGACAGACTCCTAGAGATGTAGGTAGAGCGAAACACACAGGCCTGGGTGCTCTGCTCAGTGGCCTGGGTGCTCTGCTTGGTAGCCTGGGTGCTCTGCTCGGTGTGCAGTGGGCATGAGGCCTGTCTGGGTCCTCAGCCTGCAGGGCCATGTGGTGTCCCGGGCCCAGTGGGCTACCCCTGGTCAGGGCTCTGTGAGAAGCAGGCAGCCCCTGCTTGTTCCAAACTCCCAGTGCCTCTCAGGCAACCTGGACAAACACAATTCTCCCAGCAGGAAACCCGTCACATATTCCAGCCTGGAGCCCAGAAAGTCAAACCCTGTGAAAAATGTAAAAACAAAACTTGAAAATGCCAACTCTCACAATCGAGTATTTTTTAAAAAACCCTTTGAGGCCAGGCGCAGGGGCTCACGCCTGTAATCCCAGCACTTTGGGAGACCTAGGTGGGCAGATCACCTGAGGTTGGGAGTTCAAGACCAGCCTGACCAACATGGAGAAACCTCATCTCTACTAAAAATACAAAATTAGCTGGGTATGGTTGTGCACATGTGTAGTCCCAGCTACTGGGAAGGCTGATGCAGGAGAATTGCATGAACCTGGGAGGCAGAGGCTGCAGTGAGCCAAGATTGTGCCACTGCACTCCCACCTGGGTAACATAGCAAGGCCCTGTCAGAAAGAAAAGAAAAGAAAAGAGGAGAGGAAGGGAGGGGAGGGGAGGGGAGGAGAGGGGAGGGGAAGGGAGGAGAGGAGAGGGGAGGGGAGGGGAGAAAAGAGAGAGGGAGGAAAGGAAGGAAGGAAGAGAGGGAGGGAGGAAGGAAGGGAGGAAGAAGGGAGGGAGGGAGAAAGTGGAGGAGGAGAAAGAAAAGGAGAAGAAAGAAGGAGTAGGAGGAATAAGGAAGGAGAAGAAATAATTGCTCACCTACCAGATTGGCAACGATGAAAATGAATGAAAAGGCTGAAATGAATGAGAAAATGAATGAGAAGGCACCATCTTCTCACTGCAACCTCCCCCTCCCGAGTTCAAGCGATTCTCGTGCCTCAGCTTCCTAAGTATCTGGGATTACAGGTGTGTGCCACCACGCCCCCCACCTTTTTTTTAATTTTTGGTATTTTTAGTACAGACAGGGTTTCATCATGTTGGCCAGGCTGGTCTTGAACTCCTGACCTCAGATGATCTACCTGCCTCGGCCTCCCAAAATGCTGGGATGACAGGAGTGAGCCACTGCGCCTGGCCAACATAT